GTGATACATTTTACTTCATTTTATCCTTACTAATATGGATAAGGAAAGGCTTTGAATGTTGGATTAACTTCATATCTACAAACAAAGTGAATCTTTTAAAGAAACATACTCATCTGCATTAAAAAAAAACAAACAGTGAAAGATAAGAAAGTAAGAGACGGCCTATATCTGGGAAGTTTTCTCAGTGTGTTGGCTACTTTGATGTGTGGGTTTTCTTAAAATATTAGAAGTTGTTTAATATTTTAAGTCCCTTCTAACACCGTGAAAATGACCTGAAGGTAAAACTTCATGTTCTTCGCCAGCATCAGTGTATAGCTGCAAGGCAGGGCATTCTGCAAGAATTATACATAATTTTCCAAGTAAAATTGCATCTGAAATCGATGCGATTTTTTGGGGGGTTTAAATGGTTGTGTTGATACTGTTCACAGCTGAGTTGGGGAACCAAATAGATATGCCTTTAATTTGTTTTTAAATGATATTCTGGAGATTATAATCTGAAGGGTAGCTGCCATAGTAATGTGCCAGTCACCATGGCATCTGAACATTATGAAAAGAAATTCTGGGCTGCACAAAGACAATACCACCAATTAGTATTTCGAACTGATCAAAGGTGGAGTACCAAAAAGTTTGCCAATAAATGTAGCTCAGTGGATGGCACTAGAAGGTAGAGTTTACTTTACACAAATTTATAAAGATTTCAGTCCTCCTATCAATATCATATGAATTTATAAATAAAAGACTTCACACAGACTTCATAGTTTACTATGCTAACTTTTTTCAGTTGCATGAAGAGTATGGCTGCAGGTTTTTATTTCACTGACCTAGTGAAGAAGCAGTTTATGGTTCTGCTTCATATGAACCTTTAAAACTTTTTCCTCCTTACAGAATCTTTAACTTTAAAATAAAATTAAGTCAGTTAATGAAGAAAAGGGATTTTCTGTACTCGATTGGTAAATATTCCTAACCTCTGAAACATTTTGCAGTCTGCTTTCGTAATACTATTCTAATTGTCAAACAAACCTAAAACTAAATCGTTATTTAAAAGCAAACTTATTTTATCTTAAATAATTGATTGTGGCTTGTTGTTTGAAAGAGGACTAGTTTGGCATGAATTCCAAATCCAGTTATGATCTTAACTCAAGCAGTTTGTTTAATCAAACATTACTCTAATAAGTCTTACATGGTCCCGTACCCGGCCAGGCCTGTCTATAACAACTAGTTTATTCTGCGACGAGTTGCTCAACAGATGTCATTCTGGTAGAATAATGCAGCAGAATATTTGTGCGTTGGCTAAAATTACTTCAACTTTGATCACTTTTGTCCAGCACATCAGTCTGGCATTGTGCTTTATACCAACATAACACTTTACCCTGAGCATGCCTTTCAAGCTTAGAATAGGAGAGGAATGTTATTGAATTCAGTGCAGTTACAGATGAGTTAATGAAAGAAGGGAAATACTGTTTTTTTCATAATGCCTTTCTGTTGTACTTTGGAATTATGAGGGAATTTGAAGAATGTGACTTCTGAGTTATTTATTTTTACTTCTGAAGGCTTTTTGAAAACAATATTATATCGTTCTATTGATCGCACATTTCTATAAATAAGTTTCATTTGTCATTCAGAAATAGCTCATTTTAGAGTTTTATAATTGTGAAAATAATATTAGTATGACTTTTTGGTGTGTAATTGGAGAATAGTTATCTCATAGGGACTAAAATAGCAAGAACCATATTCTTGTGATCACAGATCAGTATTGTTACATTTTGATGGGCTGTTGTGGGGTCAGTATGGAGTAATGACATCTCTTTACCTTGATACTACTGTGAAACAAATACTGCACAGCAGGCTACCTTCTTGTTAAGAAGCAGTGAAGAAAGGCTGTTTGTTTTGAACAGTAGGAATGAGATCATATACCAAGTTCTATAGAGTTTGGTCTTCTATAATTCCATTTCTCACAGGTGCATGTGTGTATACATATGCACATATATATAAGAATATACCATATATATGTGTACTTGAAATTAGTTTAAATGAGTTTTTAATAACTAAGATACATTTGCATTTTTTAAAATCATGATGATATACTTAAATATGAAGGCTACTTTAATTGCTAATAAATACTTAAGTATTCTGTGTCTAAAAAAACCCCAAGTGTTCTTGTTTTGGTTTTTTTAATTAAAATATGGTTCTAAATTTTTAAAATTGAAACATAGTTGCCAGATCAGTCTCCCTGCAAACACTCATGAACAAAACAGATATTAACATAAAGGTCATCAGGTGTACATGTAATTTACCAGTTTTACAAAAAAAGGAGAGGTATTTTACTGATTCTAAAACATGCAATGAATGTAAAGCTGAGCTGAAAATCCAACCCAAGTATATGTTATGATACTGAAATGTCCAGACAAGGAACCCACATGGTTTGACTTCCATCGTTTAGTGAGATGGAGAGTCAAGAGTTGGAAGTAATGTATCTTACTCTTGGATAATAAATTGAAGCTGTTGTTTTCCACTCATCTGTGCGGAATATTTATATTTATAAAGCTTTAAACCGATAGTATTGAAATTATTATCTGTGTAGCCTATATATTAAATCTGTCCAGAAATATGAGACAGTTCTTCACAGTTTTTACTAAGATGCTCTTTATTAGTATGAAATACTACTACACTACTACTGCTACTAAAAGTAGTGAGAATGAGCAACAGTAATTGAATGGGGGATCTGAGAACTGGAAATACAGTAAGAGCAGTGTACTTCATGTTTGCTCTCTATATGCCCTGAATTTTCTCAGTCATATTTATTTTGTTGACAAACTCATGCAGCAGTGCCATAAAGAGTCTTTTGAAGAATGTTCCCCAAATCAACGTTTATGAGCAAGCATATGTGTGGAAATACCTTCCTCCTCCCTCACCCCCCCTTAGGATATTTACAATGATTAGAACAGTTCTTTTGCCACTTAATGTCTGCACATGTATCCTCCATCCATGTATTCGAGTGCCTGAATGATGTGCAAAATTTGAAAGAAAGGATCCAGGAAGCATTTCTCTCAAAAGATGATCAAGAGAAAAAGAGTTTTGGTACTATTTCATTATGCAAACACATTTTTAGATTAGTATCTACTGCCAGATGTTGCATATACATTCTGTACTAAAAATAAATGACAAATTTTGAGGGAACATATGTACATTCCATATGTTTATATTACCATATTACCTTACTGTGTGTTCAAACCTCAGCTGTGCTTCAGTGATGAAGGTATGGCAAGTACTGATTAATATGTAGGGTCAAATTATGTAAAATGTCTGTATAGCGGATCACTTTGTTTTATTGCATTATCTCCCTAAGAACAGTAGCTTAGAAGAATCATTAATTTCTTGAATATGAAAAGTTTAAATATATGGATTATGTTAGTATTTCTCACTGTGACAAATTTCAGCTTTATTCCTGACTCCTGTTTTAACCGTTTTTCTGTTCAGAGAAAGTTGTTAACTTAGGGTAAGTGTGCTAGAATGCAAACAAGGTGCTATCTCAAAGATCTTTTCTGCTGATAGATATAGATAGATAGATAAATAAAATTTTTTCAGATCACAGAATTTTTAGTAATGCTCATAGCAGAAGTTAGAATACAACTCTTTGTTTCTTTCCAATTGACAAGCGAACAAGTGCAAAGCTAGAGAAGGCATCAGAGGACAGTTTTTGGAGTAGTCTTGGCATTTGCTTTAGGTCAAATCTTACCCATATCTGCTTTAATATCTTTTGGTTTAACGTGTCAAACACTTGGTTGTTATGTCTGTTGCGTTAGACTGTACAGCCCTCTTAGAGCTGGGAATGGGACTTCCTCAGATATTCTGTTGTGTAAAATGCTAGTTAAATGTCTCAAACCTTACTTTTATCTGCTTGGGAATGTTTTCCTGGATGTAATATAGGTTGTTGAGATCTGTACTTGGAAACTAAAATAGACCTGTGAAGATATGGGAGGACCTTGTATTCCCATGTAGCAGTTTTATGGAAGGCAAACCAAAACCCAACATTGCTCACTGTAGGCATTTTATTGTTCGCAGTTCTGGTCCAGCTCGGCAGTATTTACATGTGCTGGTTGTTTGTGCAGTCTTTACATTCAAGTGTAAGATATTATTCAGAATTTGAGATATCGCTCTCTATCCCAAGTACAAAAATACGTCTTTTTGTGATTTAGATAATTGATTATCACAAAACCTTTGATAAAACATGCCAACTTTTTTATCTGTGTTAATGATTTTGTGGAAAGAGTTTTGTAACTCTTGTATTTTACAGCATTCTTCCTGTATTTGAAATTTTCAACTCTTTCTTCTTTTTCCATCCCTTCCTCCTGACCACCATCATGTGAGATCATTAATGGTAGTGACTTGTATTTTAATACCATGAGAAAAGAGTTGATGTAAAAATGAATTTGTTTGCATTTTGTTAATACATGTTTGAAATGTGTTGTCTTCATTGGAAATGTGCCTATTAATTCATATTGCCATGTTTAGTATACTCACTTTTATTGTTAGATCCCTTTTAAGAAACGTATGCAAAAATAATTGTATCTCTTATTACATTAGATATAACGTGAACCTAAAATTTTCAGGTGAAACAGAATATATTAACTAGCAAAACCTGTAACAGAATTTTTGTTACTACCTTCTGCTTCCCTTCAGTTTTGTTCATTACTTTGTAATACTTTTTACTGTGAAAATTTGTATTAAGATTTGTTTTACATATTTATGATGCTGAAGTAATAATGAATCATTATGAATGATAATTTATAGATTTTAATTATTTTTCTTTAACACAGTTTGTTCAATTACTTTTGGCAGTACTGTGTGTAAACCTGTGGAACAGATCTGAATCTTTGAGTGTTGGAGAAACCTGTTTTACAAATAAAAAGCTTGGGATTATGATGAAAAGAATGCAATTTGCCTGTATTTCTTTTGTTAGAGCAAATTATTATTTTTATTTTATTTTTTTTTTTAACCAGGTAAAGCGGAATGTGTATGACCTAACTAGTATCCCTGTCCGTCACCAGTTATGGGAAGGCTGGCCTCCTTCTGCCACAGATGACTCAGTAAGTAGCTGTGGTTTTCGCTTCATTTCTTCCTACAAGTAGCTGATTTTACTTGGATTTTTGGTCGGAATCACCCAATAACTTTTACTGTCTCATATGCAGTAACTTAACGTTGCATATACTTCAGAGCTTTATCTTGAAAGATACAAATACTAAAGTGTTGGATTACTGAAGCACATGGAAATTATTCATGTGTATCAAATTCAGTGCACGTTTTAGACGAGGAGACATGTTCCTAGACTGAAGCAAAGCAGCACAACATTTTGGAAGTTGAAGAAGTCTATTGCAGTGATTGAACTTCAGGAGAAAAGTCTTGGTTTTTACATGTATTCTGAGTGCACATCTAGATATTTTACTCAGTAGCGTACATTAGTTCACCAGTATGCTTAAGCCTGCATCTGGCTATAAGTAGGAGGTGTTCATGTTGAAATCAGTGGAGAGCTTCACTTGCTTTTAAAGTATCTACTTTGGTTCTTGCTGCACCAGTAAGAATTTATGGACATTTGCAAGATTACATTTTGAAATATTAAATAATGTGTATACAATACAATATGTATTAAATTTTCAAATGTATGATGCAGATTTTAGAATTACCATTATTTAGCAGTGGAGAGAAATCTTAGCTGAGATCAATATGAACCCTCGGTGATGGAATCAACTGATTGTGAATTGCCTACAAATTAGTGAAATTATGGGACTTAACTGCAGAATTCCGTTAAATATTAGACTTGCTTCCTTGCATGGTTGTCCCTACAGTGTGTTTTTACAGCATGTCTTTCAGTTTTGCTCAGATAATTTTCTTCTGGTACTATGTTCCCAATGCCAGCTAGTGAGGTCTGCCTTTATTTAAAAAAAAAAAAAAAAAAAAAAAAAACACAACCAAAAAAAAACAAAACCAAAAAAACCTTTATTTAAAAAAAAAAAAAAAAAAAAAAAAAACACACACCAAAAAAAACCAAACCCAAACTCCAACCAAACAAAAAACAAACAAACCTAAAAGGCTGAAGTAATTATGTAGTTATATTTTATGTAGGTTTTGTAACCTGAGAAAAATGTAAAAAAATTAAATATTTTTATTTTAATAAAAACATTCATTTAAACTAGGGTTTTTACCTGAGTATTCTACAAAGTGAAAATGGAATTGGGATTTGCTTTCTCTACATATTACTATTATCTTCAATGCATTACTTTCCTGTCTGTTTCTACTGTCTTCTTGTAACGGGAGAATTGCTGTTTGTATGATAAGACTGCTGCTTTTCTGCTCTGGGTAAAGGATTTATGCCAATCAAAAAAAAAAAAAAAAAAGACTGTCTGAATTTCTAATATGCTTGTAAAATATGTCTATGGTAGTGTTTGCAGAAACAGTAGTTAACTTTGAGAGAGATGGGTAAATCTATGTCCGTATATTCAGGAGCATATCTGAGACGATAGATGTAAGATCTGAAATAACAGCATAGTGTCATGTGGTAATTACAGACTGAAATGTGGATCCATTTTAACATTTTATTAGTTTACATTAGCCCAAAAAGAATTGGAAACTCGACACTTCTAATCTGTTTTTCCACAGCTGTTAGGTTTTCCTGTATTTTTTTTTCCTGCCTTTCTTTTAAATAGGATACCTCACATATGTAAAACTCATAAATCTGGTTTAAGTCTGTTTTCACAAGTGACACTGTTGCAGGTGAATTTTTCCCCTTTTCATCTTTAATGAAATTGGTGAATGTTGAGTCATCTGCTCCAAAGCAGGAGAGTCCTCAAAGCTCATTGCTCGAGTCTGGTGGAGCTGAGACTTGTCAGCTGTGTAAACAGATTTGAATGTGTTACCAACAAAAATATAATTAATTTCTGTCTAAAATTAGAGGCCATAGCTTACTATTTATAAAGATTTAATGTTAGCAATGACTACCTATGGTTCTGTGATCTGAACATTTTTTCCTTTGCAAATTAGAAATATTCAGTAATCATTACTTTAGTAATTAGTCATGATGTCTTTAGTTCAGTGGCAAATTTTTAAAATCACTTCTTCTATCATGAGTTTTTAATTTGCTGTATTCTATAGTACTCCATTGCAATTAAAGAGTTAAAGAAAGACTTGATTAAAATCCTTTTTCATTTACATGTTATGCAGCATAAGAAATACTTTGTAATACCACAGGAGGTTTTTTCAGTGCAGTTCTCGTTAACCTTTGGCTTAGCAAACAGGACAACTAAATAGACTTCGCATAATTGGATTCCTGTATCATCTTGAGTCTCTTATGAACCTGACAGACTACAGTCTTCTGACATTATCAGGAAATTTAGTGGAGTCAATAGTCATTTAAAACATTGTTGCTTCATCTCCCTTCAGAGTTAAGATATGTTCTTGGCTTGTACTATCTAATGAAATATGGGATACTGTATGAATTGTCAATAACTCTTTCAGATCCTTTTGCACACTTTCACCAGGGAAATGGGTATCTAAACTTCCACACGCAGGAGAATGTTTTCATGCTGTGACAGTTTGATCGTGGGAAACAAGGCGTATATAGTCTGTGGAAATCTCATTTCACCATTCGGCAAGGACATATTTTTAGCTTTTTTTTTGTGCCTGAGTGATTTTAACGCCACAAATTATATCTGTTCTGCTCGTTAAAGTTCAAACAAAGTAAATGTATGAGTTTTAAATAATTCTTTTTTTCACAAGTTTACGTAAGTAAAACTTTAATTATATTAAAGGCTTAATTTATCTATTTTTGGGTGTATATCATCAACTGATATAATGCAGTCTTGAAAATTATCCTAGAAAATAAAATAAAAAAAATTATAATTTGATTTAAATAGATTCACAGTTTGTTCTCAATTTTTGTTTTGGATTTTGTAACAACCTTAACATTACTGAGCTTGTAAAATAAGAACGAAGCCAGAATAATTTACTAAAATTTCTGAAATGTATTATGTTTCTCTTTGGTATATTGGCTGAACTTCTAAACTTCCACTGGTAATTAATGCTATTGCCAAGTGGAATGAGCAACCTTCGGATATGTGTGCATTAAAAAAAAAAAATCTGAGATCAGTTGTAGGTGGTGTTTTAGTTATAGTTTTTACACAGAAACATTGTGATTTTATTTTATAAGTGCAATTACTTTTTGAATATTAGCTTTACACATGTATGT